CATCGTCATCAACAGTATGATTACTAACATATAAAATAAGTAACAATTTGTTCTTAGATTTTTCCTGAAAGTACTCAAAACGTTACTTGCATGCCTCACAACGTGAGGGAGTGCTCTACTCTCGATATGTGGCCATTCCTCAATTTCGCTACATAAAATCGTTCTTATACACTTAGCTAGATATCAAATCCATATTATTACTAAAGGTACAATAACTAGAGACATTGAATTATTAGTTTATTTTATAATTGATTCTTTAGGCTTTCGAACGTTCTTCCAACTGAATCAGGTCTTTCAATAACTTCATCCGTAATTTGCATCTGAAATTTTTAAATACAATATTAATTAATAAAATTTCATAATTATCACCCCCAGAAACCTTAAATCTGACATCCATATTGTATTATTTAAAAAAATCCACCATCTTGGATATGAAAATTGATGCCGTTTTCGTAATTGGCACTCCAAGAAACCTCGAAATTGACATACATAACATTAAAAAAAATTGTCAACCATCTTGGATTTAAAAATGAATTCCATTTTCGTAATCAACACCACAAGAAACCTCGAAATTGATACCCATATCATATTCTTAAAAAAATGTCCGCCATCTTGGATATGAAAATGGATGCCGTTTTCGTAATCAACACCTCCAAGAAACTTTGAAATTGACATCCATAACATTAAAAAAAAATATCCACCATCTTGAATTTAAAAATGAATACCATTTTTGTAATTAGCAACCCAAGAAACGTCGAAATTGATACCCATATCATATTACTAAAAAAATGTCCGCCATCTTGGATATTAAAATGGATGCCATTTTCGTAATCATCATCACAACAAACCTTGAAATTGACATCCATATCATACATATATTAAAAAATGACCGCCATCTTGGATTTAAAATAACTACTATTTTCGTAATTAGCACCCCGACAAACCTAAAAATTTACCCCTAAATCTTAATATTTTATATAAAACTTAGAAAGACCGAAGACGAGGCACTATAGTATGGTCTAAAACGTTAGCCTGTCCAACCACACGATTTAGATGAAGAAAAAAATTAAACTTCGAAACAGTAATGCCCAGCGACTAGTACCAATTTTTTTTCCGCCATTTTTTCACGTTGGCATTTTGGCACGACATCACAAAATATACATAATGTAAAAAATTATAACAATATTTATTTACTTTTCTTCCGTGTGCGGGATTTGGTGAAATCGCAGATCTTTATTTATGCCACTTGTAATCTCTCACAGTACACGTCGTATGAACCATTTTAATTATAAGTATCAATACTAAATTTATAAATTATAAAATCAAACGCGCGTTAACCCTGGAAGTCGTGTCCCGAGCTACTAATACGATTGGCATGAGCTACTCGGGCTCGTCCTTCCCGCGTCTCACCCTTCACACCCCGCACGATTGCCCCGTCTAGACGTCTTCGTCAGACGACTGTATGGATTTATAGACAGTGCTGATGGTATATTAATATAACTATAAACTATAACCTTATACCTTTCTAATTGCATTTGTGTTTTTTTTTTATTTTGACCATATATTTCTAAATTTGACCTGTTCTTATATGTAGTGTTGATACATTCTGACATTATTTTGAACTTTACTCGTAATAATTGATATTAGCAATGTCATTTTTATTTATTGTTAGGGCATTGCCATGAAATTTTATTTAAGTATGTTGTTATTAAATTTGTAATACCTTTTATTATGATTTAACTCTACTTGATAACGTCCAGTAAAGTCTCATAATTATTATCACTAGTCCTATGATAATATAAATTGTAATGTATAATTATATCTTTAGTAATATTATCTGTCCTCGGAAAACTCTCTCCATAATGTGAAAATCATTTATTTATGAAGTTTGTCTACAATCAGAATAATTTGTATTTTGCATGCCATTTTGATCAACATTATCATTTTCCTTACTAGTAGATGCAACATAACCATAATAAGCATTGCATGTTGCAAGAGTATGTTTTTACACCGCTTCCACTTCCTCTTCATCAAAGTGCACTTCATAAATATCCGAGATCTGCACTGTTATTTCAACGAAATTCACTTTCACCTCGAGACTGGCAAGCCATAATAAATTCTTCTTGACAGAAGCATATCAGAAATCTTTTGAATGCGGCGCACCTTTGCAGAATAAGAGTCTGTGTGTACTTCTCCAACGATATCTGTTTTTACATGTTTTACAAAATTTAATTTACATGCAGCAAGAAAAGAACGAAATTCGAAGCTAAATAGAATATAATTGCTGTTCGGATCATGTACTAAAGTATGATATTATGATTTTGATCAACTAATAGATAGATGTTCGTAGTCATTTGATGACAATAATAAGTTGTAAAATATGGTAATATCAGCTTTTTACTCGTAAAGGGTAATGCATAGCACTTGTTACCAATTACACATTTTGAATATAGTAACCTGGCAAAAGTGTACAATAAGGTATTATTATAAATCATAATTATTTTAAATATACCTTAATAAACTATTTCAGAAGTAACACAAAAACATTTTTAGAGATATAAATTAACTAACTAACAAAAATCGTACAATATTATTAATAAAAAATAAATAAACTAAAGATACTTAACAAGGTAATAAGATATTCAACAGAAAATTGAAGATATTTCAAATAATTTTTTTTTTTAAATTTAGATTATATTAATATTCAACTTTTTAAAATGATTCGGGATTCAACCCTACTTTGAATTCATACCACATGTTCAGCAGTTGTGTTTAGGACCACAATACTAACGAGACTGTCAAGGTGCATACTAAATCGGCTACAGGTTGTGGCGAATAAATTCAATAATAATATATAATTATCACCCAAGTCTTAATCGGCCGGAATGTTCTGATTTTGAACAAAATTCATTCCAAATTTGACAATATTTTTGAATGAACGAATGAATGATTGCATGAATGAATTAATGAAATTTACCTTATTGTACACCAATAAACATGAAAATAAACTTTGGTGCCAACAGTACTTATTTTATCAAGTGTAAGTTTTCATGGAGTAATCCAGAAATAAGGAAAATAAGTATTGAAAATCAAATATTTATTCTCAAAAGGACTATAAAACAATTTTAAGTAAGAATATGTCACTAAAACATTATTGACTGGACCTGATTTATTTGAATAGAACCGACAAGTAATTGCATTTTATTTTATCACATTTTTAATAAAATATTTTTGTCGGCTAAGTCTGAAATTATATTGCATCTGGAAATCACATTAGCATACACTTTAGTATAATATCATAAATATTCAAATATCAAACAATAACTAAAACAATTTTATCTAATTAATTTAATTTAATCACTATATATTACAATAAAAGCAACAAACATTGTATCTGAGGACACTGGCATGTGATTTTACAAAGTGTTTTTCTCCTTACCTAATGTACTTAAATATATTATACTATACAATAGTTTTAACATAACATGTTTGACATTGGAAGTTAGAAGTAATGCTTCTAATACAAATAATGTAAGGAGATAATATTACTTTACTACATAAAAGAAATATAAAATAAATAAAACCGTCTCCAAGAGATCATTCAGTTTGTACATATTCATATAAAACAATTACAGAAGGGAAGATTTTTTATACTATAACCATTGCCTTATATTTTGAATCAATTATCTATATACCACACGCTGGCCACACTTGATAAAATATATAAAACCAATTGGTCGTAACAACTTACCACACACACATGCTTAGGTTTTGTGTGTGTGTGAATTAAACTATAAATTTATATATCACGTCCCTTCACTTAGAGCATATACAATCAAGTGTTTATTGAAATTGGAGCGGTACTACGACCGAATGGTCGCAGAATCCACTTACCATCAAGCGGATTGTATGCTTGCTTGTCACCTTATTCTATAAAAAAAAACATACACATTATCCAGATTAGAAAACCAGAATAATTATTTAAAAGCCCCACAAATACTTGTCCCGTGTACGCCCTGCACTTTCGAGCCATCAAAAGTCATACAGGTAATACACTATTATACACAACACTTATATATATAACAAAAACGCCGTTTTAGTTACATTGAGGTCTAGAGGCGGCAAAGCAAAACATTTAGGTGAAGAGAAGGCGTTTTATATTTTATTTTGTTATCACAAAGGTAGATACATAGCTAACGTATTATGAGAATACCTGGGTTACTTTTAGCACATACAAAGGTAATTCTTAGTTTTCTCCCTGATAATGAGCCTAGAAGATTTTTTTTCGATAAAACTATCACTGCCATGTCATTAGGTATAGTTGTGTTTTTCATTAATTATTATTTTAAAATCTGGAAACCTAAAATTACTAAAACTAGTAACAAGGTCTTTAAAGTTAGATAGCAAACAAATTTAATAAATTTTTTTATAAAACCGATTTCTGTCACAGCCATGTTGTCAGGTTTAGTTTTTTTTTCATTCATTAATTATTTTAAAATCTAGAAACCTTAAATTACTAAAACTATTAACAACGCCTTTATAAGTTATATAGCAAACAAATGTATTGAACATAAAAATAAATAAAAAATCTTGCAAATATACTCACAATTCTTGTAAAAATACACAATTATTCTTAAAATAATGTAATCAGGTGGAATTATGGGTTTATATTGGTAATTTAGTAAATTTTTCATAGGTAAATTTTTGCAGTCCGGATATTCTCATTAGTTTTAAAAGTATCATGATGCAAGCAATACTGTATGCACTTAGTATACTAGAAACAGGGCTTGATTAAGTCATAAAAGGCACCACTAGGCGATGCGCTGTTGGGTCTGATCCACCTTTTTCCAACTATCTACATTTTCTAAAATACTTATTTGTAAGATCGCAGGGTCCTTAAGTAACGCAGGGTTCACAGACAGTTGCCTACTTTACTTTTAGAAATAATTGATAATTGTATTGGTAAGGAATTAAGGTAATCTAACGCAGTTATTTAGCTTTTAAAATGTAATTTCTGTATTGACTACATGACGTTGTCGAACTATTCTCTTTGCGAAAAGGATTTGAATAACGTCCACAGTAAGACCCTTCGTTTCCGGTAAGAAGAATTTACAGAAGATAGCGGAAAAAAAGCAGGCAAATGCGAAGAAATAGAAGACTGGACCCAAGCCGATTGTCGTGACAAGTGGGTTGAAGATGAAGAGAACGATAAAACTGCAGACGAGGGACCACTGGATGACTATCATTGATGCGATGCTTTTGATCTGAAATACGGTTTATAAAATTGAAATGACAAACTTCAAACAAAGCTACAGATGCGTTATCACATTTGAGGACTACGATGGATGCCTCACAGCCTGTAATCATATCCACCAAACCAGAAAACAGCAGTGCAAGAGTGTGCATTTTATTTATGGCTGTGGAGCCGGATTGAGAAACTGGATTTAACCAGAGAGCTTTTTCAGTGGAAACGAAGCATTCTATCTAAGTCCTTTTGATTCTGAATCAAGGATAGTGGTAGATGTCTATGAGTCATAGCGTCCACTTACTATCAGGTGGACTGTACTTGTTTGGTCGCCTTTATTATTCAAAAAAATTGTTTTCTTTTTACAAAAAATAATTAGTAGCTCTTTTGGAAAAATATGCAAATTAAAATATACATTTTAAATATTGTGAAGACTGTGGCGACGTGGCTAAGGGACTTGTGACTAACACTTGCTTAAACCTGAGACTATCGACCCATCCATTACAGCCTATAAAAGATCACTACTAAGCACACGTTTCCCCTACATATACATCCGAAGATTTGTAGTTTTATAATGGTTCCATATATTTCTTTTATTTATAAATTGATGGTTGTTGACAAATGATAAGTGATAAGTAAATATGAATAAGATGGTTTTTGAATATTTTACATTTTTAATATTTTTCATTTCATAAGTTCAACAGAGGACTTATGATAGGCTATATGGTAATACGATAATGATATGATTTACTTTTATTGCAGTTGCTGTGTAACAGCATCCAGCAACAGGCCGTGTCGTAAGAGATGACAGAAGTAAACTGAAATAGTAGGTGAGCAGCAGCGTCTTCCCGATCAAAACTCTATAATAGTTAAAATAACTGAGGCTGACAACCCAACCGTCAATCATGGCAACTATGTCAAATATGGGGGATATTATGGGGCAATCTATGAGAGAGGCTTATGTTCAGTTTCGAACTTTTGATATGCTATATTGACTGAATGTATGTATTTATGTAATACATAATTTATATTATAGGTTTGATCACTCGTTAAAAAAATTAACATCTTTACCAACCTCTGGTAAAAATATCTCTGCAAGCAACACGCAGGGAACGGTCCCCGATCCGCACGAGTAAGTCACGCCGAATATGTACATGAACATTGCGGTGACCCAGTGCGGCCCCCAGTGCAGCTGAATTTGGGTACCCAAGACCATGCAGCATACACCAGTAGCAAAGGAAGCGTAGATCATTAAGGGCTGAAATCGGTAAACTAATTTTAGTTTACTAACTGGAATTCGTGTAATGGCGGCATAAGAGTATCCACTAACCTATATCATCACATATGGTGGTCATAAGAGGCAACAAGGGTAATAAAACAGATAATGAACAGCAGGATTTTCCTAATTCTAGCTTTATAATAGTAAATAATTCGGTTTTTTTTTTGGAATAATTATATAGTTATAGCAAATATCCGCTTTATGAGTGGGCAGACCCATCAGTAGTGGACTTTTGCAGATGATAATAATGGCAAATATGTGGCGTGTTGGTACTAATAATTAATAGAATCAGACATTAATTAGCAGTAATTATTAAATATCTGCCGCTTTCATTACGGCGTGGATCGGTTTTTGTACCTTGTGATAGCGCACGTGTAAAGGATAGGGGTTTAATATTCTGTACCTACCGTCTTGGTAGGCGGCGCGTGGAATACGGGTACTTCTCTTTCATAATTCGTGGAATATATATTCATTTATATATATTCTATTATGAAAATATATAAATGATTCTGTGCTGTGCTTTTTTTTTGCAAATACAGTAGACAAGGTTTATTTATGTGCACAGCAAGGTTTTGACAGGGTTAATAAATGGCTCCAACAAAACATATTAACACTGAGTACGGACAAAACCAAATATAAACATTTTTCTATGCGCAGCTCAACTAAGCACAGTCGCAGAGTCTAAATGTTACTGCCCAGTTATTTTTAATACAAAACTATTAAATACCTTGGAATAATTATAGATTATCCTTTTATATTTAAAAACTACATAAACCACTTGTGCAAGAGTCCGTAAACTAATGTTTGTTTTTAAGAAGTTTCAGTCTTTTGCTGATATTAAGGTAGTAAAGCAAGTATATTTATGTCAATCACTTCTCGCCTATTGTATAACCTCATGGGGAGGAGCATCTAAAACTACACTGCTACCACTGGAACGCGCTTAATGAGCTATATTAAAAGTCGCAGCATTCTGGCTTGTTTTATTCCCGTCCCATCTCTTATGTAAATTCTATAATGTCCTCTTAGTGTACCAGTTATTCGTTATGAGTACATTACTAAAACAGCACTTAAAATTATTAACCTACAGAAGAGAGGTAACTGATAAAAGACGCAAAGTTAAAGTAATTGAAACTAATATTAGAATAAAGCATTCCTTCATGCATAGATTTTTTATATTCCTTGGCGCTTTTCTGTATAATAAAATAAATGCAAGTTTGTGCATGTATCCATTAAAAATCGCAGATTGTAAAAATGTAATTCGAACATGGCGAGCATGGTTACAAAATTTATCGTACGATGATGCGGAAAAGTTGCCGATAGTTTTAAGTTAATCCGGGAGAAAAACCAGCGACTAGGTTCGCCATCCGTCATGTCCTGTCTCCCGGAGGGGTAAAAAGTGGATTTCGGAGGCCCATCTGGCTACGCTGAATGTATGTGGAGGAATAAATGATAAGATGGATGAAGTATGCGAAATTATGAATGATAGAGGAATAGATGTGTTATGTGTAAATGAGACGAAACGAGATGGCATGTATACCGCTTACTGGTCTGGTGTAGACGAGACCGAGTGGGCATGCTAGGGAGTCGGTGTCATCCTTTCAGAAAGAATAGGTCAATGTATGAAAGAGTATGAATGTGTAAGCCCAAGGCTGCTGTGGATACGAATGAAAGTGGACTTAAAAAAGTTGTTTGTTCTAGGGGTTCTAGGGGTGTCCCAGATATGTCTAAGCCCACTTATATCCGAGAGCAGTTTTTTCCTCTCTCCCCCCCGGACCGCTTAGTAGTGCGCACGTATTAATATTTCCGTGTTAATTCTCTAAATTAAATATATAATTGTATTATTAAATACCATACGCAAAAATAGGAGTGCATAGAAACACAGGAGTAAAAATATTGTTAACATCAAGTCAACGCTTACTACGTTTCAACGCGGCGGATCGCTTCTATTTTGGCAAACAAGTACGTACCTATAGTCACTCTACTCAACTAAAACGCATATTTTAAGGAAGAAACAAGAAACACTCTAATTATCATACCCGCTGTAGGATAACAGTAACGCCAAGAGACTTGCGCTGCGCGGTGACTGAGCGCAATTATTTTTGCCTTGTCTAATTGCTGCTCGCCTAGTATTTTACCGTACCAACTTACCTACGTCACTAAAGAAGCTGCTGTACATCGAATAATTAAATCCTTATTTAATACTGTCCTGGTAATACATAATATAATTCTGTTGACATTGGACGGTCATTTGAAAAATTGAGTGACAAAAAGTTCCTTGATATATTTCTGTTTTCCTGGTACAATTCTGTATTAAATTGAATGACATTAAAAACAATAAAATAAAAGATACAGTGAACTAAAGTATCTTACAGTATCTGTTCTCCTTATACTTATTTTGGAATTTTATTAAAAATACGTCACAGAATCACTGACTAAGCAGAAGATTCTCTTTCTTTCTAAAATAGCTCCATAGCTCCACTCCTTATAAATTCAAAATATATCCGAGTTTTTTTTTATACTTCAAATATACCAACTTAAATATCTGTACTCCTAGTACCAGGGTGCGTTATATTTTTTTTTTAAATTTCTCTAAGTTTATACCTCTATAAGTAAGGTTCTACGAAGTACTGTTCTCCGAGTCCTCTTCTGACAGTTTTCCTTATTTTCCCTAAAATGCTTAGATCACCACCTCGTGATTCTTTACGAACAGCCTCCAATCCTGAATTAGCGTCTCCCAATATCGCACAACGAGAAAATAAACGACGGCGAACCAGCGACGCTGATAACGAAACTGAAATAGTCTCTACGGATGCTATTAACGAGCTAAAAACAATGTTGGAAACCTTCGTTAAAAATCAAAATTCAAGATTAGACAATATAGAAAAAAAATTAGCACTTGTTACAAATCAAAACGTAATCATTCAACAAACCAATTCTGAAATAGAAAAGTCTATAAACTTCGTCTCAGACAGAATAGATAATTTGCAAAGAGATGTCTCCAATATGGAAAATGATCGCAAGGCCCTTGAGTCACAAATAAACATAATAAATACCAAATAGGATGTATTGGAGAGGTACATTCGCAAGACAAGTATTGAGATACATAATGTTCCGAAAATAAAAGGTGCAAATAAGGAGACTTTATTTAAATATATACTCACCCTAATCACGAACTTAAGTGTAACTATAGAACAAAATAACCTTCGTGATGTCTATCGTTTGCCAAGCAAGACTGATGCAACATCCTCTACAATCGTAGCAGAATTTGGAAATAGTCTACTAAAGAGTCAGGTCATTGATGCAGTAAAGCGTTATGTTAAAAAAATCCTAAAGATTCACTTAATTGTTATCATATGGGAATTATGAACGTTGAATCACGAATTTACGTAAGTGAACATCTGACAAAAAGTCTAAAAGACTTTACTTCCTTGCAAGAGATATAGCCAAAACCATGGGTTACTTATATTGTTGGACGTCAAACGACAATGTGTACTTGCGCCGCAAAGATGGAGATCCACACATTCTCATAAAAAATGAAGCCCAACTCTCAAAACTTAAAAATGCTAAATGACTAGATGTAAGATTTGTCATAATATTAATTATACTAGAATGTTGTTATGCTAATTTAGTTAAGAAATTATACTCTAAGCTATCTTTTTTAATAAACACATACACTTTTACATACTCACTCCCACACATAACTCATAATTATTTAATACACACCTCAACTTGTTTACTTAAGATCAAGCTTAATCAACAATCACAATTTACTCACTTACCTACAAAGCGAAGACCATGCAACGCAAATTATATTATGTTTCATAATTTTTACATTGTCAGGAACTATAAAAAAAGAATATTGTATAAAATAACTTATTACAGTTTGATTATTTACATTTTAAGACCGAAAATAATTTATAATGGATTTACTATTCATACGATGCTGTTTAAAATATTTAGCCATCCTAAGACTAATAGTATGACGCTGTTACAAACATTTTGTTACGTTATAATAAATATATATAAAATTCACTAATATAAATGAAGTATCGAATAACCTAGATGATATAACGAATTCGGAATTTTATATTTGCAACCCTCGAGATTTATGCTCTATAATAAGCCAACCTAATAACTACACAAACATTTTATGTCAGAATATTCGAAGTATTAAACGAAACTTTGATGGTCTGACTGTGCTAATGAAAAGGATGAATATAGATTTTGATCTCGTTATACTGACTGAATGTTGGCTGTCCTGTTCTGGTTCTATACCTTTGTTAGAATCGTATTCTTCTCATGCCACCAAGCAAACTTTCAATCAGAACGACGGTGTGCTGATCTATATTAAAGATAACTTGAAATGTACTGTTGAAGAGCCCCCTTTTCAAGACGCTAACTGCTTGGTAATTAAATTTGGAACACATACAGTAGTTATAGGGATTTATCGTCCACACTGCTTTAAAAACGATGCAAACAATTTTTTTTCATCCTTGAACCAACTTCTCACTGAACTAAAAGGCTTCAAAAATATAATTCTAATGGGAGACATCAATATAGATATTTCCCCTGACAATATGGACCAGCAAGCCGAACAATATCTTAATTTGATAGCATCACATGGACTTCTTCCTGCGTTTACATCATCCACCCGAATGTTCACATGTATTGATCACTTATTGCTCAAAACACGTCTGCCCGCTAAATCATTTGTTATACAAACTTGTTTTACTGATCACGAAGCTGTAAGCCTTAGTCTTGAAATAAAACAAACTAGATGTTATTTCAACAAAATGATTAGAAAAATTGATCATGTTGGACTTAAAAAGTTTTTATTAGACGTTAATTTCGATCAAATGTATGGAAATAACAATCCTGAAGAAGTAGCAAGTTTCTTAGTGGAAACTTTATCAAAAGCACTGGAAAACAGCACTAAAAATATTAGATTGTCCCATCGTAAAACCACATTAAAACCATGG